ATCAGAAATTGATAAATTTTCATCATGTTCATACATGCACATTGAAAGTATGTAATTTTGCCAGTACAATACTTTAATTTGTATGCCTTTAGATGGACTAAGGATTCATTGTTGTATTTAAATGTACGTATACTTATAATTGCCCCTCATATAACAGAAAATGTTATTTACACTATATAAGAAATGTACTGTTGTTTACCATAATTTGCTCTTAAAATTTTGATGTACAATTTGTATATATAGTATGCTTATTAAAAATGCACAACAATGTGACTGTTTCGGTGTAAGTCGGGCAGGTGCTTGAAAGTAAAGTGTATTGCCAAATCTTCTTCCTCCTTAAATATAGTTATAAATTTAAAGCTCCATACACCAGAAATTTTTATGATTCTGATTAAATCAGAGTTTACATATTATAGTTTTTCATCTCATAACTTGTTCAGTTGTGGTAAGTGCAGAAATGCCTAAATTTTGATGGAAGATGCAGGGAATATTTTGTCTCAAAAATATTTCAAAATATTAAACCTCAAAGAAATAGTTTTGTGTCCCTTTTGTTATTCCATTAAGAATCTTATACATTTCAATTTCAATTCAATTTCTTTATTGCAAAAGACATATGTCTTATAGCATTAATACAATATATAAACAAAAGAAATAAATGAAATAATGGCTGGCATATATATACATACAAACTAGTATTAACAGTTTTTACAGTTCATATGGAGAATGACATGTAATATAGCAGATATAATCATATCAACAATATAGAAGTAATTAAATGAGACAAATCAGCAAATGACACACAATTACATTATTAAATCATTTCTAAGCGCGAGGGCTTTATAGATAAACTTCCCTAAATTACATAATTCTTTTACATTATTCACACTTAGCAACTGTATTAATTTGTACATAGATGGCCTATACCAATAATATTTTTTCAAAAACTTTGATCGCAATGTTGAATAAATTGGGCATACAAGTAAAAAATGATATTCATCTTCAATTTCTGAAGTACATATTTTACAGAATCTTTTGTCTCTTGTTATATTTTTATGCCTACCTGTTTCAATAAACAGATTATCCGAGGACAACCTCATTTTAGAAATACATTTTTTGTACACCTTTGGTATCGATTTTTCTAAATAATATTGCAAGCAAAAATTGTCAATTAAATGCTTATAAATATAACATTTTGATTCTGTTTGCATTTTGCTATATAGGGTCTGTATAAAGTGATCATTAAGTCTTTGACGAATGATTGGCAGACAGATACGACTATTCAGATTCATGTATTATAAATCAAAATTAATTTGATATCTGAATTTTAAGAACAGAAGTTTGAAATAGTGCTTTAATTTTGAATAATTTGTACAATCTAAATGTAAGAAAAGCATGCAGTTGAATAAATAATTCAATTGAGAGATGCAAATTATGATTTGGAAGTATCAATCACAGTACACACAGTTCATTGTGTATATATTTTACTCTGGAGATTTAAGAAAAAACAACAGAAAGACAAGTTTATATATAAGTTCATATGTGATTTTCAATTTTCTGCTTTATTGTAAATATCAAAGTCTGCTCTTAAAAAATCTTTAAATAAAAACTTTTATCAGAATAAGAATTCAGTTATACTGTTGTAACTTTAAATCAATTAAATCCTTGTATTGGTTGGAAAATGAACTATGTGTATGTCCTTGTATTGGTAAGAAGATGAACTATGTGTACTTATGTGTGGATTCAAATGAGCAAGATCTTGTGTCAGTATTAAATTATGTTACATACATCAGCAGAAATTTAATGAACCACTGAAACCAGAATCCTTCTTCCTTTTCCTCCATATCCTTTTCCTCCATATCCTCATATGACCCTCCTCTCAATATATATAAGTATGAACTGACCTGTGTTTCACACCATAAAGGGAGCATTCACACACCTAATACCGGTAGGAGTATGAAGACATTTGCCACTAGATAAAAAGCCCTCTGTATAGTTTTCTTTAATATGTTTAATAATTAAGCTTCATAATATATTCGTACCATGAAATATACCCAAATTATGTTTAATTACTAAAGCTTCATTTATACATGTAATATTCATACCATGAAATATACCCAAATCTTGTAAAACGTAAATACTTATTGTACAGTAAGATGTACATGCCATTTTGAAATCAACTTTGACCCATATTTTAATCTTCGTATATTTGATGTCTAAAGTGCAATTTATTTATTTGTTTATTCATGTGGCTGATGTATGAATGTACTGTGTAGTTTGACCTACATCAGGTCTAGCTGTTTTCATTTACAATCGGGGTCTTGTTTCATTAAGGAGGCAATAAAATAACCAGAATAGCTAGTCAACTAAAATTTAGTTATATAAACTCTTATCATGTGATAGAGTGTAAAGAATTAAACTACTAGACCATTGCAGATATACTGCACTTTACACTTTTTTTGGAAACATTTTTTCCTTATGGGTAAGGTATGTAAACTATGTTATATTGGATGACTGCTAATGTTGAATCTAAGTTTTGCTTGACATTAAACTGTAATCACCAGATATTAAAGTTGACATTTAATACATGTATTTATTATATGTTTTATGGTTTGCAGTTGAAGTATTATGAAGTACATTTTATGAGAAAAAAATATCTGGTTTGAATAAAGGGAAGCAGAAGGCTGGGTTACTCCTTAATTCTATCTTTCCCCAGAAAAGTTGTTAATTACTGTGGGTTATGACTGAAGGTGGTTATAGTTGGTAACCAAAAATTTTACATGAAAATTCTAAAGTATATATGAAAGGTGCACAGGCCTAACAAAGCTAATGTTGTTTGTCATTGTTTTAGCTGGGACTTTAATAATTTAATTAAGCTATACCTGCATGCAGAGATTATAAAAGAGAGAAACGAAGTTACTAGTGGGTCAATGCCTCAATAAAATGACTTTTATGTATTGTATGATAATCATATACCAGTTTTTATGATGGCTATAGTTCATCATTAGCAGTTTGGGAAGTATATAGTCTTGCAGCCAGTTTTATGATCCTTGAGAGATTAGAAAGATGAACCTCAAATAAAGGAGTGGATCCAGGAATCAGAGTTAAAAGGGAGGTGGGATCTAAGAAGTCTGATTTTAAATAGATTGGGGCCTCTTGTATAAAAATGCACTAGCAGAGGTCAAAGTCATACTTAGAGGTCAAGGTTATTGATCTAAAAAAAAAGAAAATCAGAGTTTACAAACATATGTTAATCTACCATGATGTTATAGCAATGATATCTCATATAATATGTAAACTAGCTGTAACATCTCATATTTTCGTTGGGTCTAATTTTCAAGGTTTGAGGAAAAAAAATTGGATTGTTGGCCGGGTCATTTCACAGTAATAAAAGTTCTTCAGTAATTTTTTCATCATCAGAATTAAATCTCAAGAGTCTGAAAAAAGTGATGTGAGAGAAGTTTTTGATTAATATAATTTGTGAATGAACAGGCAAAAGTTCATTACAAGCAGCAGCAACATGATGAAAAATGATTTCCCAATGGGTACAGAGTTCCAAAAAAGAACTGTGTATGTCTTATTGATTTGGTTATTTTGTGTATGTATTTATGTATATTAATTTCTTTCTAAATCTTGATCCACAGTACTGACAATGATCCAGGATTGTATACACAGCAGGAAAAAGCAGAATTTTGATGGTTAATTTGAAGAAATAGAGTTACAGAAATTAAGGTAAATGTTTTTTTAAATTAATTTTTCTAATAATTTGAATACTGTTTCCTAATTTCAGTACATACATAGGTATTTGCATGTCATTATCCAATGTGTTAATTATATTTTCATGCATTGCATAGTTTCTAGGTGAACATATCTCTTATTTCTTATACAATATACAACTTCATCTGTAAAACTGTTTTATTGACCTAAAGTTTCATTACAAATTTTTGCATCAATTTCCCATGATAGTTTTTATTTATAGATCTCATTTTTTGTTAATTTGAAATGGGTATGGTAATGAAATTCTTATTCTCAAAGATTCAGTTTAATTAAATAGTGATATAGATTACTTTATTGAACAAATGGTTACTCTCTTGAGGTTAAATTACAGGAAAAATAGACTGCACTGGTTGTTAAATCACAGAAAACTGAGATTGATTCTATGTAACATGGGAGTTGCAGCATGATGTGTTCGTTAATTACAGATATCAACTTTGTTTTTCTAAATTTAAACACTTTATAAGGAAGTTTGTGTTGGGGATTTTTAAATAAAGTTGTCGAACAGATTTCAGAATGTATAAACCTCATGCACTCTATGAATTTAATAGAACAGTTTACGCTTCTTTATAAACTGCTTTGCGGTTTATAAAGCGTAAACTGCCCTAACCCAGTTTATACCGTATAAAATGGATAGCTATTAAATTCATTGCTTATAATTTAATTTTCATTCATTTGATGTAAGAAAAAAAGATGAATATTCTAACAAATTGTCTTCAATTTGTACAAAATTAGAATGCAACGTCAGGCGGATTGATACGTCATTGTGACGTAGGCAACCCATTTTATACGATATAAAGTATATTTTTTATCCAATCAAATACAGCGTTACATTCAAAATTAAATTATAGTGTATTAAAAAATTCATATGCCAAATTAAGGTATAATTGTCATTTTTAATGCAAAACTGATTGAAAAAAAATTCAACATTGCAAAATCAAAGTATTTAAAAAAAATCCCTAATAAAAGATATTTTTTCCTAGAAGGATATAGATTTTGTTTATTTATTGAAATCAAATATTGAAGGGTTTGAACCACAATACATGACCCCTGATCTCAAAGGTCTCCAAGGTCCGGCTATTATAATTTTATTTATTCTTTGTAGTTGTTCAATATTTATCTAATGCTTAAGTGACACACTTGATGGAGATTGGTTAAAACAATCTCAGACAAATATCATGAATGTTGTACAAATTCAGGTCGGAATAATTAGTTAATCACACATCGAACACTCTCCTTCAGTCGAAGCCAAATAAAAGCGCAAGGTACAATGTGCTAACGAAGAAATTATTGACTAGCAAATTGATTTTTTCGCCCTCCTTTTCCTTACTGACGCTCTATAAAGTATCTGGAGAACTAAATAAAAAGAACATGCCTGGATTTATATTTCCTGTCCTTTCGAAGCTTACGGATTGAAAACAATAATGCAGAAAAGCCAAGGTGTGACAATTTTGCTTCACCTTTAATTTCAGTGTGTGTTGGACAGGTAAATACTTCCCTAGGCACATGTAAATTGTTGTAGATGATTGAATGTAAGGAATTATTAATAGGTCATACATAAGATGTTATCTCCTGCCTTCCTGTTTCTGCTAACGAGGTGTGTATGCCTTATACCCGTACGTGTATATCCAGGGTAGTGTGGCTCAGTAGTTATGTAGGGGTGTTACAAGGTGTTATAAAAAATAATTGCATCAATGTACAGGGGCTTCTTGAGGGAGTAAGAGGATGGAAAAATCAATTCATAAGATTTATTTAATTATATATAGGTATATAATTTATATTATGTATCCTACATAGTCTTGTATTGTGTATTTGATTCTTTAATCAATATGTCAGGCTTTACATTGTAGTTTAGTATATTTCTTGGGATTTAACTAAAAAATCTGCATTAGTCTTTAACATTCAGATTGCACAGACCTTAGCTCTTGAACGTGAAGTTAGGTTTTAAGGTTCTCCTGTACCCTATATAAATTTGTCAAGTATTTTATGGAGGTGACATATAAATGCATTAAATGTGAAGTATACAAGTAAATATTTGTTTTCTCTCCACCATCACTCTATCAATGATGTTATCTATTTTATCCCCTCTCACAGTGAAGCAGGTTATAGCAGTCTGACCACATGGTAGCAGAAGACAACTTCAACCCCGTGGCAATGGCCTCTTGTACCGACGGGTTCCACTTCACCGTGCAGCACATTCACATGCGACCCCAGATGTTCCTGGGCGAGTCCTCCACGCTGGACGAGGTATTTCTGTCAGGTCGACCCCAGGGTCACCACCACAAGGGGGTGGTGGACTCCGCCGTCTCCCCGGATGTGGAGCTCCTCATAGAGAAGGACAAGGAAAGTGATTTGGACTCTTCGGAAGAAGGAGATATTTTAGGTCGCTCTGGACCCAGTTGTTACCAACTCTCCATTTCATCTGTGATACTGATCTCAATTATATGCATACTAATCGTGACTTGTAGACAATACATCAAAGATCTCTTACTATGGTTGGAACAAACAGACCCCTACATTAGTGTATTTATTTTCCTCCTCCTCTTCATTGTGACCTCGTTTCCCATGGCCTGGGGGTACATACTCCTCATGGTGGCCGCGGGGTATCTCTACGGTTATATCTATGGACCTATAGTGGTACTGATATGTGGGACCGTGGGTATTATTGTAGCGCATTTAGTGATGAAAAACTGCTGCCAAAACTTCATCAAAAAGAGGTTCCACAACAGTAAGATGGACGCTGTGATCAAAGTGGTGCAGAGTTCTCAAGGATTCAAGTTAATAGCATTAGCCAGACTTACTCCTATTCCATTTGGATTACAGAATGGACTATTTTCAGTAAGTAACTCTTTTTCCAAAAAATGGACAGAGTATGCTGACAGCTGGCATAGATTAGACCCCTTATCAAAAGCAAGTAAAAATTGTCATAGTTTTTGAAAACAAAATTTTCCTCTAAAAATTTGAATATATAAAAAAAAAATTGAGAAAATCTAAAAAAAAAAATTTACATCTAAACTGCTCTAATATCTGGGATAATTCCTGGAATCCACCCCCACCCACCCCAACCACCACATGCCAAAACACACTAATACTGGGATGAGAAGGAATTCCAAAATGAAGGGGGGATTTATAACAATATAAGTACAAGGGAAATCCCCCCCCCCCCAGTCTAAGGGACAGCCCTGTGTATGACTAGTTGATGAGTAAAATATTTTATATCATTTCATTTCAACTCAAACATCAGCACACCATAAAAAGAATCAGTGTAAATGACATTTCAAACATTGAATCAGCATTAAAATCTGTTGTGTCAGAATCAGATGATGGCTTAGATCCTGAATTAATAGAGCAAAGTACACTAAACAAGTGTTGAGTCATATATATATTTAATGTAATAAAGCTAATTGATACAAATTATTTAATAATATATACTGTAATACTGTACTTGAGCGTTTTCTCAAACTAAAGTGTTTTATGATTGCACTTATTTAAAACTCTCTAATTCACTGTTTTGTGCCATACACATTTTAAAAGTCACAAACAGACGAAAGGCCACAAAACCTTAATGACAGTGCAAATAAGTACAAAATGGTATTGGACTATCTGCCCCCCCCCCCTCCAACACACACACACACATCCTCACATACACAAGAAAAACAATCAAACCTTTTAAAAAAAACTAAAAAACAAAAGCTTAATCTTCATGGTTAATAAAATGATGGAGTCTGCACTTAATTTTATAGAATTTTGGTGGAGAATATTTTACTGTATACCAAAATATTTTGACCTCAACTTTGTATTATATGTTCGTACAAGTCTAAATATAACAAATTATTTTTGTTGATATCTTCTAAACTAAATAAACTAACAAAGCTTCAAAATTTCATGACAAGAAATTACCCTTCTTCAAAAACTTTTTTTTATATTTCCAAATCAACTAGTCTAAGAGATTTTAAATATAGGTGCTAGATACACATCAAACAAGATCCAAAATAATCCATGGTCTGAATAAATTAAGTCAGGTACCTCAAATATAAATATAGATTTCAAGCCTTTTAATTGCTGACTTTTTTATAACTGGTGACAGATGTTGCCATCTTAACCAATGTCTTGGGCCATGCTTTACAAAAGGACTTACAATTAAGACCATAATATTTTGTAAATAACTTTTTTACAATAAAAAATTTCATAAGTCTTTTGAAGTAAAGCTTGTTAAATTCTGTTTTACCAATAAAGGCCTCAAAACATCTTTCAGTCCTTTATCCTCTCAAAATATGCTTAAACTATAAAAGTCCCCAAATCAGTGGCGGATCCAGGAATCTTGACAAGAGGCCCAGGGGTCACATCGCTCACCTGAGCAATTGGCTCGGAAAAACACAGATCAGATCAGAACTGAAAGTAAACAAAACTTAAATCTTTACACCCCCCAGGGGGTCATGATTTGAACAAACTTGAATCTACACTACCTGAGGATGATTCCCTATAAATATAACGAAGCCTGTCTTTGAAGTACTTGAAAAGAAGATTTTAAAAGGTTTCCCTATATGTTCCTATGTAAAACTTTGATCCGCCATTTTGGCTCCACCCTACCCCCGGGGGTCATGATTTGTACAAACTTGAATCTACACTACCTGAGGATGATTCCACATGAGTTTAATCTTTCCTGGCCCAATGGTACTTGAGAAGAAGATTTTTAAAGATTTTTCCTATATATTCCTATGTAAAACTTTGATCGGCCATTTTGGCCCCACCCTACCCCCGGGGGTCATGATTTGAACACACTTGAATGTACACTACCTGAGGATGATCCCACATGAGTTTCATCTTTCCTGGCCCAGTGGTTCTTGAGAAGAAGATTTTAAAAGATTTTTCTAATATATTCCTAAGTAAAACTTTGATCGGCCATTTTGGCCCCACCCTACCCCCGGGGGTCATGATTTGAACACACTTGAATCTACACTACCTGAGGATGATCCCACATGAGTTTCATCTTTCCTGGCCCAGTGGTTCTTGAGAAGAAGATTTTAAAAGATTTTTCTAATATATTCCTAAGTAAAACTTTGATCAGCCATTTTGGCCCCACCCTACCCCCGGGGGTCATGATTTGAACAAACTTGAATCTACACTACCTGAAGATAATCCCAAATGAGTTTCATCTTTCCTGGCCCAGTGGTTCTTGAGAAGAAGATTTTTTAAGATTTTTCCTATATATTCCTATGTAAAACTTTGGGCCATTTTGGCCCCACTACCCCCAGGGGTCATGATTTGAACAAACTTGAATCTACACTACCTGAAGATGATCCCACATGAGTTTCATCTTTCCTGGCCCAGTGGTACATTAAAAAATTTTTTTAAAATGCCATTAATTTTTCTCTAATTCATAATTATCTCCCCTTGGAAAATTCTGCCCTTCATTTGAACAAACTTGAATCCCCTTCACCCAAGGATACTTTGTACCAAGTTTGGTTGAAATCGGCCCAGTGGTTCTTGAGAAGAAGATGAAAATGTGAAAAGTTTACGACAATGACGACGACAGACGACGGACAAATTTTGATCAGAATAGCTCACTTGAGCCTTCGGCTCAGGTGAGCTAAAAAGGGAATGGGTACCAATTTGGGGTCATGATAGTGGCCCACAGCCACACCAAATGAAAAAAAAATTGATTTATAAAATCATAATTATGTATATTTTGGACACAAGAGGGGGGAGCAGCCCCCCCCCCCTCCCCCCCACACACACAACACCCTCCCCCTTTAATCCACTGGTGCAAATACCAGAGATGATTTGAAATCAACATCAAAACTTTGTATTGAAGATTTACACTCTGAACTTTTTCCAAAACTGTAGACATTTACTTGTCCATTATATCTGACAATCTGATCAATGACATGAAGATAATATTAATGCAGTTTATCCAACTTCATTTTGAAAATAAACAAAATTCTTGTGGCTTGTAGATTTTAATGGGTTGAATAGTACACCATCAGCCAGTGACATAATTTGGAATAGATCATGTCATATTCAGTTGAAACACTTATTAACAGATTGTGTACATGTGCAATATAAGTCAATATAGGCTACTTGCCATATATAAAAACAGTCCAAAGACTGCTTTCAGATGCTAGTCAATTCATAATGTATATAGTAATAAATGTATATTGATCTCTCTATTATAGTACATACTAGTTCTTTCTAGTCAATGCTGGATTCACTGACTATGACATGACAGGTGATAATTAATGATAATAAACAGATTAAAACATGATAGGTCAGGTTCAAATAGATTTCATACGATAACAAGATGTGTTTGTGAAACACTGATGCCCCCGTATGGCAGCTTATGGTGAGGGTTGAAATTTCTCAAATGCAGGTTTAACTCCAAGGTCAAGGTCAGATGGTCAAAACTGTTGATACCCAATGAAAGGTCTTCTCACAAAGCATACATCTGTGATTCTGTGAAATATTAAAACCCTAGTTCTAACAGTTTAAAAGTTTTGGTCAAGATTTAAGTTTTCAAAAAGTTGGCCTAACTCTAAGATCAAGGGCAAAAGGTCAAATATTTTTTATTATTATACTTCTGTTAAAATGTTTCCTATATAAAGTTCAGAAGGTAAAATAACTATCCTTCATAGTTCATGCATAGCAAAGCTATACCCCGGGGTATAGTTTTTGCTATCCACCCTCGGAAAAATTTCATGCAAATTGTTGCCGCCAATTTTGATTTACAACGATAAATCATTAAACTGGTGATGTCATAATGACTTCAGTAGCACTGGGACGTCATCAGAATTTCAAATTAATCTTGCAGAATTATCTTACTCCAAAAAAAAAATTCAAACCTCAGAAATTATATTATACATCAGTATAATAAAATGCTTATCCACTGGATGTGAGTGGGATAGCTCTTTTATCAAACCCTTGACAGGTACTATTCCCCTCGGGCAAGCCCACGGGGAATAGTTCTCTGTCGCGGGTTTGATAAAAGAGCTATTCCACTCACACCCAGTGGATAAGTGTATAATACCCATTGAAAGGCCTTATCATAGTGAATACACATGTGAAGTATGAAAGCCCTAGCACCAACTATTCAAAAGTTATGGCTATTGTTAAAGTTCAGAAAATTTTTGTTAAAGTGGGTCAAACTCCAAGGTTAAGGTCACAAGGTCAAATTTGATGGTGACTGCCAAAAGAAATGTCTTGTTACAAGGAATACACCGTCCTGTGAAATATATGAAAGCCATAGCCCCACTCACTCAAAAATTACAGACAAGGTTAAAGTTTTTGCAAACAAACAGACAGACAGATGGAAGGACAGGGCAAAAACTATATACCCCTAGTAAATCTTCTCAGATGAAAAGTAATTTAAATGCACTACTGAAAAACTAACATTGTGGTACCCAATGGTATATGTATTTGATATACTGTGGTTTATTATATTTTCAATAATGAATTTTATACTGTAATTCATCCATTGAATAGCATTGAAATTTTCCCAGAATATTTTATTTTCACACAATATTACATATAAAATTCAATGAATTTGCAAAACAGAAAGTTTATGAGAATATTATAAAACACCTGTTCCCTTTATGAAATAAATTCTTATCCAACAACGACAAATGAATTATCTCCTATAAATTTATTCCTTTTTTCATGTTTTCAGCTAACAGATATACCTCTTATGTCATATTGTGCTGCCTCCACAATTGGATTGCTGCCAACCACAGTGCTGAATTGTTACATGGGCTCCACCCTCCGAACCATGAGTGACGTTTTAACCGACCAGTCAAATCAGGCCACTGGTTATCTCATATTATCAGTTCAGGTAAGTTGCCAATACAAAATATCTGAATATATTTACATTCATTGAATATTTTCTCCTTTACTCCTATATCGTCACCTGTGTGGATCAGTGGTTAGAATGTCAGCTCCAGAGTCGCGAAGTAAGGAATTGATCCTTACGTCACGGGTTCGAATCCCACTGTGGGACATGGAGACCGGTCCTTCAGATTAGACCGCATAAACGGAGGTCCCGTGTCACAGTAGGTGTTGGCCAATGGCCGTAAGTCCAAAGTATAGGTCAGAATTTGTAACCCTCCACTGGCAAGTGGTGGTGTCTTCTTATGAGTGAAAAATCTCGAGAGGGACCTTAAACAATCAGTGAATCAATATACTCGTATATTTCCTTTCTTGAATATATCCTTATGATATTTTCATTATCTAAAATAAAAATAAAAAACCTTAACTAGTTAGGTCTGACATTTCTTAAAACTTAAAAAAAAAAAAACTGAAAAAAAATTGGGAGATGGAGGATGCTATTCCTGATGCTCGGAAGTGATTTAGGAGTCACAACATAAACTGTCACATTTTCATTGATTGAATTTGCAATTCAGCAATTTTGGTAAAGCACTGAAAGTCTTGTAATGCTATGTATATACATGTACCAGTAATTGGATTTTGGAATTATGCAACTTCAGATACTGGTAATAAGGGAAAATTGCAGTCACTTACTATCTATGTGTTACATGCAAGTCTTTACCATCTTTCTCTTTATTGGCCATATAAGAAAGATACTCTAGCTGTTTGCAGATTGTCAGCTGCCTTTAATTGCTTTAATTCTGGGTAATTCCAGAGATCTAATCTAAAATCCCTGGAAAGTAGTCCATTGTACAGGACCATCAAATCAAACTCTGATTCATCTTTTTATCCAGTAATTTATCTGGAATTGCCAAATCTAAATTTGTGGCTTGGTAGCTAATTTTGATTGTAACCTACAATTGATTGAGTAAACAAATGAAATATTAATACAAGGCCTAATTTCCTTTTATTTGATTTTACAATTTATTGCAATTGGTAAAATTTTTCAGCCAAATTGATACATTTTTTAGATTTGATGTACATTTGATTGCATGAACTCAGTATTTATTGTTTTTAATGCTTGGTCATATTTTTTTTATACACAATGCAAAGATTAACTTGTCTTCACCCAATTATTTTTCAACAAGATTTAGGCTATGGAATTTGCCTGTACAATTTTTTATAACAGTGTTTAAATTACTTTTCACTTATTATAATAGTTACATATACTGTACATGTATTTTAGGATGTGCCCCCTTTCTTTAATCACCCTGTATGGGTATTAGACCTACAAGGACAGATCTATTTTTCCTCTTTTTGAAAGGTTTGATAATCATGATAATGAAACTTATACATGTAGCATTAATCAGTTAGTCCTCAGAAATAACATTCAAAGTTAATATATTGTACTATATAATTTCAGATCTTGTTAACTGTTGTGTTACTGTGGTTTGTCATCAGAAAAGCTCGATCAGAGTTAAAGAAAACAGTGGAGGGCCAAGAGAACCCCTGTATAGAGCTGCCAGAAGTCACCAACCACGACGATCACCATAGCAACAGAATAACAAAAAAAGTATCAAATGGTGTCATTCATACGTGATGCTTCTTGTAACTTTGATGTGTTGAACTATATTTTTTCACTGCTGTTTTTCCTTTTTATGGAGGAATTAATTCTGTTTGCCATAGATTTTTGGTTGTGAGTTTGGTGTTGTATCTATAGACAAGGAGATAATTGGTGTATGGTAAGTTTTATGAGAAGTAAGAAGCACATAAAAATGCAATTCTTGTCATGCATGTACAAGTTTATCTTGGGTCCAGTACCTGATGTACTCCACAAATTTATGCATCATAGCTAGGTGACAGACGATCTTCAATTAATGTTATTATCTTCAATTGCTTTATATGTTTCTTAATTATGTCAATATTTTATTAAAAGTGCTGCTTTTATGTTTTCAAGTGATAAATTTTTTAAAAATTATTCATCAATATTTATTTGTTATTGTGCTTAATTCCATATCCTAGTTTCCCTTTTATTTTTTGATGAATTCAAAAGAAAAAGTTTCAAAATTTGGATTTAGATCTAAAAAAATATCTATTTCATGCTATGGTTTCCTTTTAATGTGTACAAAATGTGATTTTTTTAATTCATGAAAAATGAAATACTTCGTGTTTATCTGTATGTTTTTAAATTTTTGATTTTGATAACACATGTGAAATGAACAAATTTTGAAATGCCAAACTAAGATTTTTATGTATTTATTTTATTAATGCTCACAACATTCATCTGAAGCGGCATTACAATATATGTGATAATCATTATTATTTATTGTTGTACTTAATCCATATACATTGATGGATATAGAAATATCTTCAGCCAAATTTTTTGTTTATCAGGAATTTTGGATTTGACTGCTCAAACTTGACTAAATGTTCTGTTATTTAAGACTGATTTTTATATACACATGTATTACATGTATTAAAATACTTATGAGTCAACTTTTATTTTCACAACTTTTATTCACATAAGACAGTTTAAATTCTGTCTACAACTAATGATAAATTTTCATGAGTATAGGAAGGTTGTAACCTAGCAGATATTTCCTGTGCAGAAATAAAAGTTGGTTTTAACTATACACTGTATATGTTCATATGATGTATGGTTTTTAATACCCAGTAACAGTGATATTTTAATAAGTACATGTACTGTACCTATCTTTATGATGTATAGATTTGAAAAAAAGTGTTATAAATCCTTCAAATAATGGAATAAATCCATGCATATTTGTAAATTTTCAATCAATATGATGTTTTCCAACTTTCCAACAAAGTGTTTTTTTCTGTTTTGAAAAGAAAGAAAGAAAGAAATCAGAAAAAAAAGAAATTCAGTTCAAAAATTTCACAACCAACAAGTTTTTTTCTTTTTACAGAGTGCATTTCAATACTGGATGCTTTTTCATTGTAATAAGAACAATATAAAACAAAACATAGTTAGTGTTCAAAGGACCACATGTTACACCTAGTGCTGCAGAATTCTGATCAATCACTAGTAACCTCCTTATGACAGTTGGAACATGTGTATGCTGATGTCACATCAGTAAACATAAACATTCTGTAAGGAAAGCAAATTTGATGTAAAATTGATTATGTAATGCTTGCTCTAGATAAGCATTTCTTTATAAAAAGTTCAATTTAATCATGCATATTTATACTGCACTTAAGGACATATGCAACATACTTTACCTACTGCTAATTTTTCAAGATATTATTAATTTAAGACTATAATATTTTCCTCTGATGTTCACATACAGAAAATGAGCATGCGTTTCCAGGGGTTTCGAAAAGATATCAATTGATGACAATTGTTTTTCAATTCAAAGAAAAAATATATAAAAATTACTAAACACAATTTATTCTAGACCTTTGGTATATCCAAACTTGTTTTAGAAGTGTACAACAACATAGATGGGCATTAAAATATAGCAAATAGTTCTTTTGAGTATTGGACCTCTTCAACTCCTGGGAAAAAGACAAAAGAAAGTTCTAATATGTTGCATATGTCCTTAAAAAAAAGCTTAAATGATAATAAAAAATATTCTTGTTTGAGGTATCTTTAATTTGACTATACCATCAGTTACTGTTAAAATATCTAACTGGTTATTTCTTATAAATGTTGTATGATGTACTTAAGTAATTCATTAATCTATAAAATCCTTTATGGTCATAATCTCTGGACCATAAGTAGTGGAATACACTTTAAAAATTGAGACAAATTTTACTAATGATCAGGAATGTCTTAAATTTTGTTATTGAAAATGCAAGGATTTTTTCCCTGTGCTTTTCAGCTTTCTATAAATGAATTTCTAAATCTATCAGTCTTAATGTGACTACTTAGTTTTTTTCTTGTTTGACATTTTGTTGAGTTCTTGATTGTTCATGCAACAGAAAAATGTTCTTGTTCAAATTTTTGAGTTATTTCCCTTGTTCCTTCTAGCAGGGACCTATATACTATACTAGTATATAGGTCTCTGCTTCTAGTCGTTATTTGTTCTCTGGTTTTCAGGTGTTTTATTGGTGTTCACGCAATCATTTGTTTTATCCATGTTATCAGGTAAAAAGAGAGTTATACATCTTGTACATAGTGTGAAATTTGTCAGTGTAATTAAAATTAGATAGTCTGTGCTCTCGTAGTAGGTAATCTAATTTTAATTCGATTGATATGACACAATTATTGCTATGGTTTTCTGCTTGATGTGTTCTTCATCATTTTATTCAAAATTCTGTTTTTAGTGTATTTTTAGTAATGGATTCAATTTTAGGTACCAAAGAGTTTTAGATTGTAAAAATCTGAAGAAAAAAATGGATTTTTAAGATAATTATCCAACCATATATGTATTAAAAAGCAACAATCAATTTTCTTTTATTGCAATTTTTTTGGATAATTATCAATTTCCATTTGGAAAACGAATCAGGTTTATTGTTTTTTTTTTAATCTCCACCTAAAATATCTGTATTCTAATGCAAGTTATATTCACATGAAAACCCTCAATCTTTCATCTGTTAAATACATGTATTGTTTTAAATGACCAGAATACAATTTTGAAATATTTTGAATTTATTCTTGATTGCTTAGTGTTTCAATTATGAAATAACTTAATTTTTTTTAAGACAAATCCAACAATCCTGTATCATTACTTGGCATTATAAGAAATTATCATGAACTATCAGATTTGTATGATCCAGATATTCTGTGTGACACACTGTTTTGTAAATAAGTTTTTGCTATGTGTGTATTAAACACATTTATTATAGCATTAACAAAGGTGCTGTGTATGTATGAATTGATTGCATTGAATAAACATAAGAATCTAAATACAGGAAGTTTATCTTTCAATTAGCAAGAACTTCATTTCTATAATAAATTTTGTAAAAGATTATGCTAAAATGATGGGCTTAATTTGAAGAGGATGACCTGACAACTTGGCCAGAATGCATATGGATTAAAGGCAATATGCGCACCATTTTATCCATCCGTTTTCACTTTTTTGGAGGTGACACAATATTTATGAAGGTTGCATGTACAAATTGTTATATGTTTGCAACAAAATCGTCTTTGTTTACATTACTATAATATTTTAGGACAACTTGGTTTTTAAACATCTGGAAATCCAACTTATTCTCATAGTTCACATTCTAAGGATGAAAATTTCGTGGTAAATTCTATAAACACTCCAGTGAACCATGGTGATTTTGATGTACCCTTTCTCAACTGGAATCCTAAAATTCAGAATTCTTTCATAAAATACCCTTAAAAATATAATATACATGTATGGAGATAATTAGCAATATTCAAGCTCAAAAGTCCATCAAACAATACAAAATTGGAGCAGAGCAAAAGCGGACCTCCAAAACATTCAGAGATGGGATCAGATGCCATGGGGGAGTGAGCATCCCCTGCTGACCGATCACATCCGCCGTGTGCTCCTCATGATCGGGAAATAACGGAAAATCCGTCGACAATTCAGTGTGTATGTAATGGCCTAACAATTAGAATTAGAACATCATTCAGCATTTGACTCAATGATAAATTGTATTTGCTAACAAGGTAACAAAGATACATAGCCGAATCAAGTTAATGTCCTACCAATCCCCTTTCCTTACTCCTAAGTTCTTACAAATATATTAAAATTTGTTTTTACCCAAAGTAAGGGCGCCTCACAAAAAAAAAATATTGTGAAATATGAAAGCCCTAGCACCACTTGTTCATAATATGACCAAGGTTAAGTTTTTTTAAAGGTAGGTCAAACTCGTAGGTCAAGGTCAAAGGGTCAAAATAAATAGTTTCTAATGAAAGGTCTTGTCACATGGATAACATACGTGAATTATGAAAGCCCTAGCCTTAACTGTCCAAAATTTATGACCAAGGTTAAAGTTCTTTAAAAGAAGGTTAAACCCCAAGTCAGGGTCAAGGTCAAAGGGTCAAAGTTGTTAGTATCCATGAAAGGTCAAGTCACAAGGATTATATTTGTGAAGTATGAAAGCCCCAGCACTTACCGTTCAAAAGATATGGAAAAAGTTAAATTTTTTAAAAAGTAGACCAATCTGCAAGGTCAAAAGTTGTTGGAATCCAATGGAATGTCTTGTCACAAAGAATACATAAGTGAAATATGAAAGTCTTAGCACTAACCGATCAAAAGTTATGGCCAAAGTAAAAGTTTTGGATTTTATGCCCCCATAATCGAAGATTCGGGGGGGGGGGGGTACAGTTATAGTTTTTTGTTGTGTCCGCCCGTTTGTCTGTCTAGTTGTCTATCTGTTTTTAAAAAGTAGGTCAATCTCCAAGGTCAAAAGGTCAAAGTTGTTTGTAGTCAATAAAAGGTCTTGTTACTTGGATTATATGTGTGAAAGGTGTAAGCCCTCGCCCTTATCGTTCAAAAGTTATGGCCTAGGTTAAAGTTTTAAATAAAGTATGTCAATCTTCAAGGTCATGGTCAAAAGGTTAAAGTTGTTAGTATCAAATGGAAGGTCTTGTTACACAGAATACATAAATGAAAACATAGGTTAGTCCTAGCACTAACCGATAAAAAGTTATGGCCAAAGCAAAAGTTTGGATTTCTATGCCTCCATAATCGAAGATTCAGGGTTATGATTATAGTTTTTGTTGTGTTCGCCCGTCTGTCTTACTAGCTTTCATTTGTCTGTCTGTCTCTGTTTGTTCACAAAAACATCAATCTTGTCCATAACATAAGTTATTCCTAACAGTAACTGATAAAAAGTTATGGGTAAAAGTTTGGATTTTTATGCCCCCATAATCGAAGATTCGGGGGTATAATTATAATTTTTTCATGTTCGCCCGTCAGTCTTACTAGCTTTCATCCGTCTGTCTGTCTCCTTTTTGTTCGCAAAACATTAACCTTGTCCATAACTTGTGAGTGGATGGGACTATGGCTTTCTTATTTCACAGGTATATTCCTTGTGACAAGACCTTTCTTTGGGTACCAACAAATTTGACCTTTTGACCTTGGAGTTTGACACATTTGTCACA